TGATGAGAACAGTAATGAATCAACAAATGATAATGTCAAATTAAATAGTAAATCCGGCTTTAGGATGAGACAGAGATACCTGCTGGCATCACTGACAGTATGCTTACTGCAACAGATTTTGTCAATGATAGTGAGAGACAGCAGATTTATAACTTCACTCCAGGTGAAGGCAATAAGCCACTCAAGTTTATTCAGAGATCAATATTCTGAGGAGTTAGCTTACCCTGGCATATTTTTTGGTAATAAAAGGCCAGATGATAAACAAAGGCAAGTTAGTGTTTACTATAGTGAGATATGCAAATCAGAGCTTAGAAGATCATACTGCAAAGCTGCTATGTGTATAGAGAATGTATTCTTTAAAGCAAAGAAAATGCAAATGAAAATATTGCTTGGTAAGTCAAACAGCCATATAAGCAAAGAACTTCTATACCGGATATTGATCAACTTCCTTCAGAGTCAATAAACAATTACACTAATGATGATGAGATATCAATGAACCTGAGAGTCACACTGTGAATACATCTGGTAAAAGTACCATAAAAAAGAGATCTAAAGCAAGAATTATAAGAAGTGTTTGGTTCAACAAGGATATTAACCCAGAAAAACATTATCGGGAACTAATCATGCTCTTTACTTCTTGGAGAATTAAAGAAAGAGATTCATTAAAAACTTTCCCTCTTATAAAGATCATTATACAGCTTGTAGCGAACAAATAAATTAACAGATGAAACAATATGCACTATGTGCACAAGATCTTGATGAGATTCAACTTCATCTACAAGAAAAAATGATGATGAATATGATATGGTAGCACCAGTTACACAACATACTGAGTTGCAAGATGAAAATGAGGGAAATGTTGATTTACATCCTGATTTCTTAGGAAGATATGACATGTCTGATGACTGGGTATTCCATCAGCACAGGTAAACAATGAACCAAACAATGAACCACTTGTACTGAATGAAATGCAAGGTGATGAATACAGAACACTTGTTCAGCAACTAAATACAAAACAAAAGGAATTCTTCGATCATGTGTTGCATCTAATTAAAACTTCAGGCAAACCATTTCATGCTTTTCTCAGTGGAGGTGCTGGTGTTGGAAAATCACATCTCATAAAATTAATTTATCAAGCAGCTCTTAAATATTACAACTCGCATGCTGGTGAAGACTTTCATCAAACAAAAATTATCCTGTTAGCTCCTACAGGCAAAGCCGCATATATCATCAAAGGAAACACAATACACAGTGCTCTGGCAATACCAGCAAGTCAATCACTGAGAGATGGTAGAAAGGTAGCAAAGACGACTTTGGTGGTGTAAGCATCATTGCAATTGGTGACTTGTTTTAATTGAAACCGGTAATGGATGGTTATATTTTCAAATATATTAACAGTTGTGATTACAGCATATTAGCCCCAAATTTATAGAGTAATTACTTTACAATGTTTGAGCTTGATGCAATTAAGATACAAAGAGAGAGCAAGCTTTTTGCTGAGATTTTTAATAGATTAAGAGAAGGTCAACATACTGAAAATGACATATTGAAAATTAAAGAAAGGTGTGTACAAAATGAAATGAGCTGTCCACAAGAGGCTCCTTGATTATTCTTCCAAAATAGTTTGGTGGATGCATACAATACTAGAGCATATGACTTATCTCATGGTAATAAATATACCATCACTGCACATTATAGTGTCATTGGAGGACATTCTAATGAACTACTAAAGTTATGAGGCAAATCCCTCATTTTCCATTAAAGAATACAAAACAACTAGCAACAAAGCCTTGCATTGCTGAGGGTGGTAAAACTGAACTTGCCATGAACATCAGGACAGATGATGGTATGACAAATGGTGCTAGTAACATTGTCAAACTTGTTAAATTAAACCAACCAAATACACCTTCTGGAGTTATCTGGATACTATTTGACCAGGATGATGTAGGTAGAAAAACCAGACAGGAGAACCAAGGTCTTTATACATACCAGACAGGCAGTCCAATCTATATGGACACCTCAGGGAGCTCCACATATATCTGGAGTAAGAACTTAAGACTTCAGTGAGACCAAAAAGTGAAGCCGAAGATGGCGGATATTGAGGCGCTATAGTATGTCAGTTTCAGTCCTCCTATGTGCACGGTCAACTAAATTCGTATTTTTTAGCTTTATTTTTTCCTATTTTTGAGTAAAAAATGAGGGGAATTTCAATGAAAGGTGTAATACTAATGCTTTGTATTGAGATACTTTTATATTTCAATTAAATTAACAAGGAAATAAGCGATATCTTACATGGAAAGCTAAGGAGTGATGGATTGTTGATGTTTTTGCCTTTTTGCAAATCACAACATTTACTCACAGGATATGCTTCCCAAAAAAAACATAAAACTTTTCTCAGTTTAATTCATCTATATAAGGCTTTCGTTCATATAAAAAATTAATAGGAAAGAAATTTATGCTGAAAAACGTACGAGTTTGAAATAATACTAATATATGATTATGAAGTTTATAAACAAGACTCATAATGGATGTATAAAAGAAACCTTAAAAAGAGCCCTATGCTAGGAAAGTTGGCCAAAAAATAAAGGACAACTACTGTTGAAGCGTTTCGAAACCAAAAATGAAACAAGAAACTCAAAACATAAGGTGGAAATATATGAAAATAACTCAAAATTAAACAGATCTGAAATGCGTAGTTGAATTTACGGTGAAAAATGCATATTTACTCACACAATACAGTCAGAAAATGCGGCACCCACATCGGGTAGATGCAGAGAACCAGATTTTCAGTAAAATGAATATATTTTTTCCATTCTTGTGCTCTTGAAATGATGAAAAACACGAAAATCTGAGGGTTTCAGGAACCGCACTCCTGGTAAAAAACAACAAGAAATATTTAGCCGCGCAAGTTAGAAGACCGAAACTGACATACTTGGTCCTACTAAAAACTGCCCGAGAGTATAGAAAAACCGCCCGAGAGTGTAGAAAAACCGCCCAAGAGTATAGAAAAACAGCCCGAGACTTCGACGGTCCTGTCAAAATATTTATTATTACTATTTCAGTTCACTTGTTCAAAGAAATTCAAAATATGTGAAAGTTTGGCAATTTCTTAATCCCTAATGTTATGAGCAGAATTAATGCCCCGAAGCCGGCAGAATAATAAATGTGACATAGTGTTGGCTAAGAGCAGCAGATGAACAGAATATAGTTAAACTGAAAAAACTGTAAACTATAGATCTAGAGACCTTTTATTCAAAAATTTATTGAAATTTAGGGACGAACCAGTTAATTTTTTAAAGGCATGGGGGGGAGAGAATCTGAAAGATGAATTACAGCAAAATATTATCATCAAAAGTTGTTCGTTTAGCAGCGAAACACATATATTTATTATACATTGATATAGCTGGTATACGGTATGGTACATTAAATATATATTGATAAAAATCATCAGGTTGATGCAATTACTAAAAACAGATGTGAACAATGTTGTGTTGCACCCCATGACTATAGCAGTATTCAGCCCTTTAACAATGTTGTTGAACCTTGTCCTTTAATTTTGAACAACAATCAATCCTGTGCAACTAATTGCAACAACATTGCATCAACAACGTTGATAACAATACTGCTCATGGGGTGCAACACAACACTGTTCACTCCTGATTGGAAAACCTGATAATTATTGATATAAGTTTCAGCGGATTTTCGTTTGTGTTTTTATGTTTTTTATTCTTTTCTTTTGTCCTGGTTTTCTTGCCACTTTGGGTGTTCTTGGCACAGCAAGCAATCCATCAGTGGAAATAAGTTCCCTTTTCTTTTCTAGTAATCCTTTCATAAACTTTTGGTAAATACTCTCTCTTTCTTCCTCTGTTTTTTGGCTCCAGTGCATTTCTGGGACTCCCATCAGGGCCGTCGCTAGCGGGGGGGGTGTGTTATCATACGTCCCGTTTAGTCGGCAAATTCGTCATTACAGTTCCTTCAGTCGGCAGGCAGCAAGTTGCCATTTTAAAACTCAAATTTCTCAACTTATTTTGACGAAATGTTAATCTTGTAAAATTTATGTGTAGCTAGTGTTATGTGTTCATCCAAGGGCTGAAGATAATTGACTCTGTGGCGGATTTGTTATCCGCACACCTGGGCGGGTACGTTTGACATTTTTCATTGCCGACATAAAATTATTACAAACCTCTGGCAACTGTCCAGTGACGTCTCATGTTCTGTCTTTTTCATTCTACTGTTCTCTGTGACTGATCTGGTGGTGTTCTACGTCTCTGTTTGACTGTATCATGCGCGGTTCAAAACCAAAACGAAAACGAATAAAACTTCAGTGTCTTGAATGCAATGCGACTTTTGACGATGACTATCGCAATAAACATGAGCAATTGCAACATAAAGGAAAACGGGTCAGAGTAGCACATAAAGACGCACCAGCGAATCTGTTCGAAGCCGCAAAGGCGCGCAGTAAAAGTCAAACAGATGTTCCGTCAGAAGTGCCTGAACCCCAAACAGACAATGTAGGTACTATGGAGAAAGTCCAAGATATAGGCAAAATTGGTAAGTGTTTTCACAGTAAACTTTTTAAACGGGTGACAATATACTTTTTATTGAATAGTTAAAGTTAGACATGTAGTTTGTAATGGTCTCTTATTTCCGACTTCTGTTAAACATGCGATAACATCATGGTCCAGCTGGCCCTTATACTAGCCATGGCACTTATTACAATATTTTATATATTACAATATTTTATATATTACAATATTACCATGTATTTAGAGATAGCCGCGTCTGAAATGGAACGATATTCGAGCTAAAATAGTTAAAATAAGAATGGATCAACACTTCGTAACAATCATGTGATAAATATATGTCGCTAAAACAATTCTTTCACAAGTAAACTCAACAAATATTTGATCACTATAGTACGATCAGAAAATGAGTTGTTGTGCTGCTCCAGTACGAAAATCCATTTCGTTAGTTGTATTGTAAGTATTGACAAAAGAATTATGTTTAGTGGCAATAAAAGAACCTGCATCCGAGAACCGATGTTGGACACAGCTCTTGAGGCCATCATCATAGAAAATCCCGATCAAAGTCAACCAGCAGGCGTTAGGAAATGGCACAAGATGAAAAGCGTTGGGAAGGCCAAACCTGGAAAACTGGCTCAACACTTCTCCTCACAAAGTCATAAAGCTTCTCTGGGTGCTTATTGTCACTTCCTGCAGAAAACAAAGCATATCGACGCCCAACTAGATAAGAAAATACGCGCAGCACAAATTCAAGAATCACAAGACATGGAATATAATCGCCAAATTATCACCATCCTTCTTGATGTCGCGAAGACACTTGCTCGCCAAGCTCTTCCCTTCAGAGGTGACAGCAATGAAGATGGGAATTTTATGCAAGTGGTTCTTTTGTTAAGCAGGCACGTACCAAACTTAAAGCGGTGGATATGTGACAAAAGGCTGAATCCATATCACGCGACCTATCTAAGCCCTCAGTCACAGAACGAATTTATCTCGTTGCTTGAGAAGGAACTGCGTGTGAGAGTTGTCGAAGATGTCAAATGTGCAGACATGTTTTCCGTTATGGCAGATACTACACCTGATGAAGAACACACAGATAGGCTCTCGGTTGTTCTAAGATATGTCAGTCCGAATGGAGAACCAAGAGAGAGATTACTGGATGTGACAAAGACAGAGGACAAGACAGGTCATGGGCAAGCACAAGATATCATTTCTACAATAAAGCGGTCTGGTTTGAACACCGATAGTCTGTGCTTTCAATCGTATGATTTCGCTGCCGCAATGTCCGGGGAATTCAATGGTGCTCAGAAGCATTTGTCCGATCTTGTTGGACGTGAGATCCCATATGTACCATGTCAAGCCCACCGCTGCAACACTGTACTTGAGCACGGTTGCAATGCAAGCCCCATTATTCAAGAAATGTTTGAGGTACTACAGGCCCTTAATGTATTTTTCACGTCGAGTACAAAACGGTTTCAGCCATTGAAAGAAGAAGTCGTCAAAGTCGAGAATTGCCTGATGCTCAGAAACCTGTCCAAAACCGGATGGATTGCGAGGGCGGAAAGTATTCAAGCTGTATGGGTATCCTTCCAAGTCATTGTTGATGTGTTACACGCAGTTGCAAGCAGCGAGGGCGCAGATGCAAGCACAAAAACCCAGGCGCTTGGTTTAAGAAAAAAAATGCTCTCACTTAAATTTGTCATTGCGCTGATGTTCATGAAAAATGTTGCATACAATATGAAGAGTCTGGTGGTGCAGTTACAATCAACTGAACTCAACATCTTAGATGCCACTGATCTTGTCGAGGGCACGTTGAGTGTCATGCAGAAGTTGCAAGATGACGACAAAGCGATGGGCAATCAAATTGAGGCATCCACCACCTTCGCCAGGAGCATTGGAATTGACCCTGAAATTGATTTCCACCATCACCATCGCCCAAGGAGAGTGCCTAGACGCCTGGACGAGCAACCTGAAAGTGCTGCAGCACTTTCCTTATCGGCTTTTTATAAAAAACAGTTTCGTGAAGCCCTTGACGTTCTCACAACTCGAATGAAAGAACACTTGCTACAGTGCAAGAAGCGCATTTTACCTTTGTTGGAGTGTCTAAAGCCACCAATTGATGCGTCGCATGTTCAGTCAGCCATCACACTATTTCCACCTTCACTGTCGCCTGATGCATTAGCTTTAGAAGCTGAATTGCAGGTATTGTCTGAGCTATTACCTTCTGATGTGGGAACCGACTGTACCAAAGTAGTTAAAGTCAGCGAATCCAACAAATTGTCACTTCCATTGGCAAATTCCGTGGTCAGATTAATGCTTACAGCTCCTGTGACCGTCGCCTCAAATGAACGCCCATTTAGTAAGTTGAAATTTGTTAAAAATAGGTACGCAATGCGTACATGTGGGTAGCCTGTAAAACATGATTAGTCTTATGTTCTAATGCCATAGACAACGGAATAAACACGCTATAGTTAGCTGGTTGAATACAGTTATAACGAAGTCGCTTTATTACACAATCTATATATTATAATATTTTATTGTATTGAATACATTTTACGACAGATCAAAACATATATAAAAACATTTTTACAAGAGATAAGAAATGAAATTTTTTAAGCAGAATAGGTGAAGAGAACAAAAAAGAGAGCAAGGTTCCGGGATGGTGGCAAACATCGTCTGATAACGTAAAGCTTAGTTTAGAAGGAGAAAAAGAAGGTTTCAGACTTTTTCAAATTATTTCGTTTTGATGTCCCTTGATTATCAGCTTGTCTTTGTTACATACAAGATTGGTTCTTTTTTTGATAAATCAATGTTATGTTAATAGTCAATAAAGGTTAAACGTTATTGTTCCAGTAAGATTATACCACTTGTTTGCCAAAGTTTATTGACAATATGTTTCACGATTATAACTGAAGATGATAGCAAGATTTCATCGATCCAGTAGGAAGGTACAGGTGGTTTGCAATGTTGATTACAGATAACTTATCAGCATCAATTAGCTGGACATGATAGCACCAGTTCGTAGGTCCAAAAACTGCGTGGCTTTTTCCATGTTTAAATTTATCAGTTGACAATATCTTATCCCTGTGGTAATCAGTCCGACAATCAGTCAACATTGAATGCCATCAATCATGATTGATATAAACGTGTATTGCTCAGTTGAAGTTACCATGAAGGTATGAGTAGCATTTACCAGTAAGGTACCAGAGAACTTTGTTCTTGTTTGGCATTCGTTGCTGCGATGAACAGATTACAGTTGCGGTATGTGGAGAGAAGATGTCTGGAAACAGGAACGAGGATTTCCGATATGTGTGTTGTGGTCTTTTTATCTTCGGATTAATTTAGTGTTGATCAACGCGGTTGGCAACAAGCAATGCTGACATTTTTAAAACTTTTTTGTGATTTTAGCTGATTCAGACCTGTAAAAAGCAAAAACTCGCGTTATCAAAGAAACAAGCGCATATGTATAGCTAGTATGCAATACGAATCTATTATTTACCTTTAAATTATTAGTGTTTCAGCTTCGACATCGTGTGAATAATTTGAAAATATGCCACCGGAACCTAAAAATAAAGGGAAATGGTCAAATTGCATGAGAAAAGAAAATGAAAAAAAAAATTCAAAATTAAATGCTTACCTTTTGTTAAGTTGGAGCCAGGCCAATAAATATTGGCCTGTGTTCATCTAACCATCTCAATACTATGGTTGTTCTTGTAACATGGTAACGCTATAGTCGGACGTGATTACCTCCTTACCTGGGTTCTACTTACCATGTCAATACTATGGTTTTTCTTGTAACATGCTAACGCTATGTTTGGATGTGATTACCTCCTTACCTTTAGAGAGGCCCAAATTGCTTTGTGATCACTAAAGTAAGTTTCAAGAGTACCTGCCTGGATATCCTCTTCAATCAAGTTCGTATACAGATGATCAATCAATGTTCCATTATCTGTTGTAGAACTAGATATATAAGTTGCTCAAGGCCATTGGTATTGATCATAAGATTGTACAGTGATCTTCGTTCTATCTCATCAAGCCAGTTGACATTAAAGTCTCCAATGATTATAACATGTGGAGAAGGATGTTCCTCCAATGTCGTAGAAATGGCAGCCAAAAGAGATGATAATGCAAGTGTTGGAGATCTGTATATTCCAATTACAATTAGGTCTGGACGTTTGACCATCTTCATAATAGTTACCTCATTAGAATAAACAGCTGTTCCATGATATGGACGGCTGAGATTTGAAACGTCGTCATTTCTGAATAACTCATAGCCTTCAATTGCGTACATTTCACCAGGATCTCCTTCACGAAATCTTGTTTCGGTAAAAATTAGGATATCAGCAGACGTATAATTAATATCTTTTCGTATATCTTCAATGTGTTTGTGCAAAGATCTTGCATTAAGATAACAAATTTTTAAATCAGTGGGATTCAGCATGTACAACGGAGTGAAACAAAGATCTAATTTATACTCATTTCTCAGTAAGTGCATTTCTTCTACAACTTTAAGATCAACGGAAATCTTACTTTCGCAAAGATCAGTTATATATAGCCCTTCGATTGTTGTTACTCGGCTTAGAGCGACGTAATGAATATGAGGAATTGCTCTTCTTGTATTTAAATTAACGACGATTTGTGACTGAGTATCACCTTGTGATCAATGAACCGTTTTCGCGGCAGCTGGCCTCAAAGGAAATTGCTTTCTTACCACTTGAGCAGACTTCGTTTTACCTACAGCAAATTGCGTTGTAACAGGTTTTATTGGTGTCCAAGTACTTAGTATAGATGTACTTCGAGCATAAAGAATTCTATTTTCTTGTCGGGTTTTCTTTCCAACATCTTCGTCGTCAAACTGAACCCAAACGATGCCAGAAGGTTTAGTATTATCAGTCAATTGAACATGCTTAATGACATTACTTGCACCGTTTGTCAGACCATCATCAGTGCGTATATTCACCGCAATTTCTGTTCGTTGTCCGACAGCAATATGCAGTTTATAAGCCAACTGTTTTGAATTTTTCAAAGGAACATGTGGTATTTGTCTCATTATCTTTTCTTTCAGTTCAGCTGAACAGGCTCCAATTACGCTATCTTGTGCCCTGATTATGTATTTATCACGATCATCAAATGATTGATAAACTATATCATTGTATTCATCAACTAAAGCATTTTGAATGAATAAACGTGGGGCTTCTCTTGGACAAGCACTCTCTTCAACACATCTTTCCTTTAGTTTTTGTAGATCACTCGGAGTATGATTACCTTCACGAAGTCGATTAAGTATCTCTGCAAAAATCTTGCTTTCTCTCTGTCGCATGATTTCATCAAGCTCAAACATTCTAAAATATTTTCTCCATAAGTTCGGAGCAAGAACATCATAAGAACTTAAAGACTGAACATCTGTAAAAATGTAACCATCCATTACAGGTTTGAGTTGAAATAAGTCACCAATTGTGATTATGCTGACACCGCCGAAATCTTCTTTGCTACCTTTTAAATCTTTTAAACGGTTGTTCAATTGGATGGTGAACATGCTGTTGCCAACCATTGATATCTCATCAAGCAATATTAACTTTAATGAACTTAGTTCGCATCTCATCGTATTCAGTCTTCCAGAATCTAATGGTTTATAATTTTTCAATGACTGACTGGCTGGAATGCGCAAGGCACTGTGAATCGTGTTACCTTTTATAAGATATGCAGCTTTTCCTGTTGGAGCAAGCAATAATATATGAATACGATGAAAATCGTCCCCTGCTCGTGAATTGTAGTACTTCAATGCTGCCTGGTATATCGATTTAATAAGGTGAGACTTTCCGACACCTCCACTTCCACTGAGAAATGCGTAAAATGGCTTTTCTGACGTTTTTATCAAATGCAGAGCATGATAAAAGAATTCTCTTTGCTTCTTATTTAGCAGCTGAACTAAGGTTCGATATTCGTTATCTTGCATTTCATTTAAAACAACGGCTCATTATTTGGTAAAGAAGACGGTATGCCCAAATTCTCAGCAAGATGATCAAATGTTTCGTTTAAATCAGGATGTGTATCCACGCATCCTTCATCCTGATCATTGTGTCGTTTGTGTCACAGGTGCAATGGTATCAAAGCATTCATCACATTCGTCTAAATGATGTCCAATTTCATTTCTTCTTCACTACAAACAGCATATTGTTCCATTTGCTTACTGACTTCTTCATTTCGAGCTAAATAGTGCTCTTCAAAACAGGAATAATTTCCCATCAAATCGGTTTGCTCATTCCGCCAAGGAGTAAAAAGCATAATAAACTCGCAATAATGTTTTTCAGGTTGAGCCTCTTTATTGAACCAGACACTTCGGATTATTCTAGCTCGAGATCTTTTCCTTATTTTCATATTTTCAGGAGTTTTTACAACGTGAAGATTATCGCCATTTATTAACAACTCGTCGTCATTTATCATCATTACTTTCTAATAAGATTATCAACCTCAGGCTTGTTTGTATGTTTTTTGACCACAAGAGTCGTACCATGCTGCCCAATCAGCCAGCGTCACATTTTGCAAACAATCAGGTCGTTCTACGTATCTTTTTAAAAGACCACCAGACTGAATTTCTTCTGATTCATCACACATTTTCTCTATTTCACTCAATGGTTTAAGTAATTTGACTCTTTCAGAAGGAGGAGATGTGTTAATGAAAATTACACTATGAGACGATTTTCGCATTGGAAGTTGCAAAACAATATACATGGCTTCTTGTGCACATATTTCAACAGAATTCAAAAATTTGTTGCCAATATCATGAACTTGCTGTTTGATATTTGTATTACCTTCTTTCGCTTCAGCACAAGCTTTACGCAGTAATTCACTCATTCCTTTTTGACCTTTGGAAATATATGATACAATATACATTGCACAGGCATATACATCTAAGACATATTGAATGTCCATATTTGCTCGCCATGCTCGAAGGCAAACAGGATTGTAATTATTGATTCTTAACTCATTTGGACTTCTTTTTAAGAAGATTGTCGGAGTATTCAAAGATGATCGTATAGCAAGAATATATTGCCGTTCTGAAACACCCAACTCTTGCACTAATTCATCAAAAGTAATGTCTTTACCTTCCTTAAAATCATTTAGTTTCGTTTTAATCTCTTTCCACAATTCTTTGCTGGCTTTAGTAACAGTTGAAGAGATATCTTCATCGAGTGGGTAAAGAATCTGAGTACATCTCATTGGTGGTTGTGGATAGTTGAATCTACAAATATTTTTAGATATTTTCCTGCAAGTATGAGAATGTCTGTGTGTGTCTTTCAAGATCAAGTAATTCTGTATCATCTTCTGGTTTGCTGCAGGTAATTATGCTATCAATATAAGCAACAACATCTTCATCTTTATCAACACCAAACACAGGTGCATTTTCAAGCCATATCAACATATGAATATGAGGTGATCCTCGCTGTTGGTATTCAACTCTATAAAACCA